TGAAAGTGGTATATACAAGACTGGGATTGAGCAGGATCTGAAAACGCAAGTAAATTGCATGAGGAAGTGGCCCAAATGTCCAAGACCTCCACTCTTGTCACATTACTTTCCCTCCCAATCTACTACCATGGTTTCATGGGGAGTTCCTTATGATTAGTTAATTGAGGAAGAGGAAACTCATGCTTGGTTTACAGATGGTTCTGCATGATATGCAAGAAACAATTGAAATTGGATAGCAGCAGCACTAATGCCCATTTCTGGGACTACTATGAATGACAATGGTGAATGGAAAACTTCCCAATGGGCAAAACTTCAAGCAGTACACATGGGTGTTCATTTTTCTTGGCAGGATAAGTGGCCAGATATGTAACTGTATACAATCCATGGATTGTGGCCAATGGTTTGGCTGGATGGTCAAGGACTTGGAAGGAACATGATTGGAAAATTGGTGACAAGGAGGAGACAGGAAGAGTTATGTGGACAGATCTTTCTGAGTGAGTAAAGATATTTGTATATCATATGAAAATGTACTAAAGGATTATATCAGCAGAGGAGGATTGCAACAATCAAAGGACAGGATGACACATTCTGTGGAAACTAATCACATTCTTTGCCAGCCACTCCTGTCATTGCACAATGGGCTCATGAATAAAGTGGCAATGGTGTAATGGATGGAGGTTATGCATGGTCTCAGTAGCATGAGCTTCCACTCACCAAGGCTGACTTAGCTACAGACAAGTGCCCAGTCTGCCAGCAGCAGAAACCAATACTGAGTTCAATATATGAGACCATTCCTTGGAGATCAGCCAACAACATACTGGTAGATTGATTACATCTGATCACTATCATCATGAAATGGTCAGAATTCTGTTCTTGCTGGAATGGACACTTACAACTAATAATGCTTCTGCTAAAACTGTGGACTTACAGAATACCTCATCCATCATCCTAGTATCCCACATAACAGTGCATCAGATTAAGGGACCCACATCACAGCCAAAGTAGTGTGGCAATGGGCCCACACTTGTGGAATTCACAATGTTCCTGAAAATATGGCCTTGGTGAGAGAAATGATGATGGATATCACATGACAGTTTTTCAAGACCAAGGACTTCTTCATTGGAAATACTTTTGTTTAAAACAACATAAAAGACAATTGTACACATGGACCTCACCAGTTGGGATACACAGAAATCAAATACACTATCCCTATAGAAAGAGAAAGGGGAAACAATCCATATCTTTGGCCAAACAAGAACAGGCAGACAGTTCAGTTGCTCATATGCAAGTTCAAGATGAAGCTGAAGAAAACTAAAACAAATCCTGGAGAGCCAAAATATGACTTTTAACATATCCCACTTTAATTTATAGATCATCTGCAGAACAGATATGATGCATTAGACACAAAAAACCAGAGACCAAAAGAGCTGTGGGATGACATCAAAAACATCATACATGAAGAAAGTAAAAAGGTCATTAAAAAGAAAAGAAAGACGGAAAAGACCAAAATGGATTTCAGAAGATACTTTCAAACTTGTTCTCCAGCATAGAGGTGATAAAGGAAATGGGAAAAACTGAGGAGGTAAAAGAGCTAAGTAAAAATTTCAAAGGGAAACTCGAGAAGACAAACTCAAATATTATAAAAAATGTGCAAAGACCTAGAGTTAGAAAGCCAAAGAGAAGAACCCACTCAATATTTCTCAAGCTGAGGGAGCTTAAGAAAAAATTCAAGCACTGACTTGCAATATTAAAGAATTCTATGGGCAAATATTGAATGATGCAGAAAGCATTAAAAGAAGAAAGAAGGAATATATAGTCACTGTACCAAAAAGAAATGATTGATGATAAACCATTTCAATAAGTGGAATATTATCAAGAGTCAATGATACTGAAGGAAGAAGTCCAAGGTTCACTGAAGCCATTGGCAAAGAACAAGGCTCCGGTAATTGATGTAATACAATTTTAAATCTTTCAACAAACTGATGCAACATGGGAGGCACTCACTCATATATGCAAAGAAATTTGGAAGGCAATTACTTTGCCAACTGGCTGAAAGAGAGCCATATTTGTGCCCATTCCAAATAGAGGTGAGGGTGCCACACCCATTTATACTCCTTGGTTCCTAGACAGTGAATCCTGGCTATTGGAGGAACAGCACTGCATATTGGACACTGATTTAGAACATATATAGCCTCATGGAGAACATTGCTGCAAACCTGGAAGGCATTGCCAACATAATTGTGTCTTTAGAAGGCCATTCCATCATTCAATTAAATCCACTGTTTCAAGATGATGATAAACATGGTTGTTCTTGTTAGGTGCCATCAAGTTGGAATCGACTTACAGCAACCCTTTCTGTGTTGTTGTTAAATCCTGTTGACTCAGTTCCAACTCATAGCGACCCTATATAAGGTTTCTGAGGAGCAACTGATGAGTTTGACTCTTTCATATATATGGTACTGGAGAAGAATATTAAAAATATCATGGGAATGAAAAAATGTATCATGGACTGCCAGAAAAACAAAGAAATCTGTTTTGGAAGAAGTACATCCAGAATGCTCCTTAGAAGCCAGGATGGTGATTTTTCATCTCTCATATTTTGAACATATTATCAGAAGGGAACAGTCCCTGGAGAAGGAAATCATGCTAGGTAAAGTGAAGGGTCAGCAAAAGAGAGGAAGACTCCCAGTGAAATGATTGGCACAGTGGTAGCAGCAACAGGCTCAAGCTTATCGACTGTGAGGATAGTGCAGGACCAATCAGCATTTCGTTCTATTGTGCATAACGTTCACTACATACTGCATCTGAGGTGTGATCCATATTGTACCCTACAGTCTTTGATCTTCATAAGTAATTATTTAAGTCCTCTTAGCTTTTAGCAAGCAAGGTTGTATCATCTGTATATCACAAGTCGCCAGTGAGTCTTCCTCCAGTACTGATGCACATTCTTCTTCATATAATCCAGCTTCTCAAATTATTTGCTCAGCATACAGACTGAGTAAGTATGGTGAAAGAATTCAGCCCTGGTGCACACCTTTCCTTATTTTAAACCTTCAGTAACCCCTCCCTGGTTCTGTTCTAACAACTGCCTCTTATTCTCTGTAGAGGTTCCTCATGAGCACAATCAAGTGGTCTTGAATATCCACTCAAAAAAATTGTCCTTAGTTTATCATGTATACAGTATTCCTATTATGCTGTTATTATAAACTAAGCTTCTTAAATTGTAAATAATTTTAAATAATATTCAAGAAAAACATTTTTCACTTAAATGTTATGAAATAGACACCATACAATGAGACAAACTTTTATTTAAAGGTCTATTAATATACCATGTAAACTATCACATAATTCACAATAAACATTTTTTAAAAGTATATTAATATAACCCAGTATAGTAAAATGTCTTCTCATTTTCCATATGAAAAACATTAATTCAGCTAACAAATTTACTTTTTAAATAAGAACAATACTCTACTATAAGAGGGTAAGTAAAAAAGTATTACTACAAAATCACAGAAACATTATTAAATGAAAATATCCAAATGTGAAGCTATTATTTCTTGACATATCCTCTATCTAGGCCTATCCACTGATGAAACAGTTTCTAGCTGTCTAACCCTTCCCTGAAGAACTTGGCACTCTGTCAAAATAGCAGTTTCAGTATCTTCCGGGGACTCAAATCATCCTCTTTTTAAATGTTCTTTGAGTTTGAAATACAGAAAGAAGTCTAAAGGGGAAAGACTAGGGCAATAGGGTGGATAGGCGAAGATTTCCCAACAAAATTATTGCAGGATAGCCCTCTATACCCTTGAGAAATGAACAGGTGCAGTATCCTCATGGAAAAAAATTTCCCAGTACAACTTTTCATGGTCTTTTTCTCACCAGTATAATTTTCCATTTTCTTCAAGATTCTTTATGATAAACCCTTATGATTTTCTTACATCCTTCAAGAAAACCTATCAAGACCACCCCTTTAAAATCCCACAAAACCTCCTGAATTGGCATCTACTTTGGATTTAACTGGTGCAGCAGATCCCTTGAGAATCCATTATTTTGATTGAACCTTGCTTTCTGGATCATGTTGGTAAATCTAAGATTTGTTCCTGTCATGATTCATTTAATAAAATAACTTTCACCAGCTTCAGTCTTGCTTAAATGACTGATGGAAAGATCCATTCTGAGTTACCTGATCTTCACTCAATGCTTTGGCCAGTCATAGAGGCAAAAGCTTGCTGAGGCCAACATGTTTACTTAAAATTTAAAATGCTGAAACATATGTGATCACTTCAGTAGCTGTTGCATCAATGGCAATTCTATAATATCCTTTCACTAGTGTCTGGACTTCAGTTACAGATTTTTCATTCATCAAGGTTTAAAGTGTTTCCCCTCTCTTGGCTTATATTTGACATCTTCCCTACCTTCCTTAAAACACATGGTCCAACTAAAAACTGTTGTTTTCTGTGAGCTAGCATTTCCTTACACTTGTTGTAAAGTTTCAAGGGACTATGTCCCTTGTTTTAACATTTTGTTAAAAATTTGAGATTAGCCCTGACCTCAGATTTTTATCCCCCCAAGGCACAAAATGTACCCTGCACTTTGAAGCTACTCCTATGAGACTAAGATAAGGGGTCTTACGGAGAGAACTTGT